AAAGGAGGTGGAGGGGGTGGTAGGGAGGGAGAAAGACAGACATTGATTGGTAGCCTCCTGCACACACTCTGACTGAGAATCTAACTGCCACCTCTTGGTGTATGGGATGACACTCCAACCAACCAAGCCACACAGGCCAGGGCTCTTCCAACTTTATATATAAACACTTGGCTAAATAAAAATTGTAGAGAAATAATATTTTGGGAATGGTATCTTCAAATATACTGGTGATTAGCCCAACATGAGTTCACTTAGTAGAAATTGTTTATAATTTTTTTATTATCAGGAATGTAAGAGAGGCAAACACAAGTTGATAAACTTATCTCTGNTATCAGGAATGTAAGAGAGACAAACACAAGTTGATAAACTTATCTCTGGGTAATTTCATGGTTTTCATTATGCTAAAGAAGGGTACAAATTGTTTAAGAAGTCAAAAGATCCAATATAAAACCCAAAGGCTTTATTCCCTAGTTCTTACTAAGCCCAAATTCTAACTGGTTTGAAAATAATTTAAAAGTTTTCTTCCTAGAAAGTAAAATATGGCACCATAATGTAATCGGGCCCCATATTTTAAATCCCAGGCAGAGCAAACAAGAACTGCAGTCTGATGATGATGATCGGTCATCACTCTCTGCAGAGGGGCTGGCTGGCGTTTCCGTGGCCCACGCCCATTCCCTGGGCAGTCCTGGTCTCCCACACTTGGCTATACAATGTGAAGGACTTTGAAAGCAGCCACAGCTTGCTTTTCCCTCTCGTGTCTGCTCTGCAGTATTTCCAGCAGTGAGATTTCAGGTAAAGTGTCTTCTTTTCCAGCATAGGTTGGGTTTTTCTTTCCCTTTTGCGCTTGATCAGTCAGAATGGAAGGTTTGGGTTTTGGGATGGTCTTAGCATATTCCAGCGCCTGAAATCATAAAGGTAAAATTTTATTGGAAATGGGAAATGAGCCCTGGATTCCTTAAATTAAATCTAGTCTTAGGAAGTGTTTATTGATAATATAAGCAAAGACTTTTCCTACAATAATGTACTAAGATGTATATGGAAATGGAGATCAAATGGAAAATGCAAACCTGCAGTATAACTTCCAGTTTAAACAAAATAAATTAGCCATGTGAAAGTTAGCTGTGAAAAAGTGTTGAGAAATGGTACATACAGTTGTACCTTCCAATGTTTTCTTTATTCAAGAGTTTTATCCAGTGTTTGAAACTATATTTCTTGGGTGTTTGATCGTTTTAGCTTCTGGCAGTCTTATTAAAACCAAATTTATTATAAGAAGATATTAACAGACCTTTGAATCCAAAATGACTTGTTACCGCTTTAGACTAAAGATTCACTGTAGAAAACTGTGCTGCCTTTATTACACTGATCATTCTTATTCTGAGGCTCTTGGAAATCTAGCAAGTGTCTATTAGAGGTTAAAATTATTATTTTTCTTTTTGGCATACTTATATAATAAACCTAGATACTGAAAAAGGCAGTATTTTTTTTTTCTTTTCTGAGTGATGTCAGTTCTGAAAAGCATTACAATAAAAATGAAATCCCTAAATACGATTTCTAAATCTGCCTATATATCCAGTTTATATCTTAATAAGAATTTCTTGATGGTTAAAATAGGAATGGATGGTATATTTAAGTTCTAGAAGGGAAAAAATACCCTCAAAACAAAAACACTCCAGACGTCTCAGTATGTGCAGGTGGCTTCTGCATGAATTTCAATTATAGACTTGTTGCCTTGAATCTGTTTGTGAAAAAATAATGGATTGGAGGGAAAAAAAGAAAAAGTGGCACCATGATAACTCATGTGGATTGAGGTCTTCCAGGTCTGAGGAAGTAAAAAAAATGAGGGTCTGGGAAAGAGAACATGAAGTACAAATTCGTAACGGCACCCAGGGGCCCCTTGTCCTTACTGGGACGAGGCAGAGGCTGGCTCTGCAGAGCTCGTCTCCACAGAGCACCTTTCATTCACCTCATGCTACAGTTGGACGACTGTGACTGAGAGGGAGGATTCTGTATTTTATGAAATCATTTTTTTTTTTTTTGGACAGGGGAAGCTATATCTTACAACCCCTTAGGGAAAATGTAGGAGAAGGAATTTGAGAGAAACAATGAAGGGCTTTTTTTGAATGGCCACCCCGTAAGCAGCACGAAAACACCATTTCCAAGACTTATTCATTGGGAGAGAAAGAAACTGACAGAGAAGCTCCCAACCCTGATGAACCTGAAGTCACCTTACTGCTCCGTCTTTATTGTGGGACAGACTTGGAATGCTACACTCAGAAGGAAACCTTCGGGGAAAGCAAAAGGCGAACCTCCCAGCACCGTGTGTGTGTGTGTGTGTGTGTGTGTGTGTGTGTGTGTGTGTGTGTCAGTCCTACACGTATCTGTGAATGAGGGGTGGGTGCAGGAACGGTAGCTGCTAAAACATCCGTGTTCAAAAAATGTGGGGGATCCATTAAGTTACGAGATAATAAAGGTTTCTTCTTAATTCTAATCAGAGAGGTCACTGCCTTGCGGAGAATGTCTTACCTTCTGCCTAGAGATGGCCGATTTGTTTTCAGCGTGTGTCGCTCGTGGCTTCGACGGGAGGGACAGCGCCCTCATGTTGTGCTCCTTAACCTGTTTTGCGTACTCCTTTTGCTGTATCAATTTCTGCATCTGTTCGGAGAAACAAAGTTTCAGGGACTCGCTGGTCCTGCTAGATGTCTCTGTTCTCTGCTTAAGGTGACACTGACCCCCGTGAGCGGGCGCTCTGCCGGCAGCAGGGGGAAGGGGACCGCCGCGGGGGGGGCACTGAAACGGTTAAGTGGGTTCCTCCCGACGCAGCCCTCCGAGGGGGCCGCCCTGCACAGCGCCCAGTGCTTCCTCAACATGGCTAAATCACATCCAGCCTCTTCTTTGTTGCATTTACCCAATTTATTTTCATTTTTGCTTCCAACTTTGAACTGTACTCTCTTTTTATGCCTTGAGTGCAACTGCAGTTAAAACACATTAAATGAAGATCTCCTTTCACTGGAGGAAAGAGAATAAAGTGGATGCACTTTTCCTGGGCTGGGAAACTCTTACCCTAAGTGTCTTCCCTGCAGCCACTGTTCAGAATTACCAAGAGAACTCTATTGGGAAGGACCCACAACCACGTAACACGCAGCTCTTTTCATGTGCACTGCCCCACTTTTCTGCTCGGGCCTTCAAAACAGAAAGGTGGACACGAAAAACAACACTGGCTAAGTAATTTTATTTTACAGTAAGAGAAATGCCTGGGACTCTATTACCAGTGATATTTCAGAAGCGTCTCTATTCAGAGTGAGGCATTTGAATTAGAACTTGGTTCTGGGGGCATCTTACACATCTTTGCTAAAAGACAAATGGGCAAATCCAAGCCTGAAAACACCACATGCACACACATCGCACTCACTTTATCTCTGATGGACTCAAGGTCAGGTCCAAGGCCTCCAAGCTTCACGTCTCTTTTCTGATAACCGTTCAGCTTGGAACTCTAAAAATACATCCACAGAGACAGTTTCTTTTGAGGACTCCATGCTCCCCGACGCTTCACGGCCGCCACCTCAGGAGGGACGGAGAGTGGAGGGTGGTGACTGTGTGCAGTTTGGAGCATGGGGCTTCTCCTGGCAGCTCTCCTGCTTTAATGGGAGTTCCTGATAATATTTCTTTGGTATTATGCAGCGGGTTAGCTAACATGTTTTGACCTTTCTACTTCTGCAATTAACAAGTTTGAAATCTGAACATGATAAATAAAAAATTTCAAGTGAGCAATGTGCTGTTTTGTTAACATTTTTAATACGACATGTACATGACCACTGCTGCCACCGCTGTTATCACTCGGGTCTTGTACAGCTCCCTAAACCAAATGACTTCCCTGGAAGAGGCAATCTAAGCGGGCCAGGTAAGCACGTTACTTCAGAGTAAGAGCACCAGCCCTGCTGGCGTGGCTCAGTGGCTGAGCGTCAGTCTATGAACCAGGTCACGTTTTGATTCCCGCCAGGGCTGTGGGCTCCATCCTCAGTGGGGGGTCATGCAGGAGGCAGCCGATCAGGGGCTCTCTCTCATCACTGATGTTTCTCTCTCTCTCCTCCCTTCTTCTCTCTGAAATCAATAAAAACATAAAAAACAGTAAGAGTACCCTGTCTAATGATGCCATAATATTCAAAAGACAGTAAACATTTAAGGGTCAAGAGTCTAGGCGTGACCCACCGAGAAACTCCTTTTCTTTAGTGTGATTTGGATATTTTAAAGGGTACAAATAATTTTATATAACTCTTAATAGTATTTTTATCTTTAAGGGGAGGAGTGAACATGAGGCAGTTGATTATGACACTTGAGCACAATAACAGGCAGGGAAACTCTAATGCTCTCCGGACTGTAATAGATTCGGATAGTCTTCAGACTGCTGCTTTTGACATCAAAACCTACTTGCTTGCAGCAGATGCCCTGTGGGGAAATCAAGCCATTTTTTGTTTGAGTTTGTGAGTTTATTTGGTGTCCTTCCTTGGGAAGGGTAGGAGGACAACACCAAAGAGGTGGTTTGGATGACAGTACTGATCTCAGGGCACATCGAGGGCGGTGCTGGGATGGCGGGGTGGAGGAAGAGCAGCCGCACTCCAGAGGCGGCACTGCACTGACTGTGTGGTACTGTGTGCGAAGGACAAGGCACGGTATGGCTCTACATGCTGAAAGCTCCCTAAGGCATACACCATATCTAATGTGCCCCTTCCTTAGACAGAATCTGGCAGATAGTCCAGAGACTTAAAAATACTCACGCCATTTCATCATATTAGATAGAGTTACTGCGTATAACTCCCAAACCTTAACAGTGACCTTATGTCTACACATTGTATCAACCATTAGAAGGATGTGTTCTACTCACACGGCCTATTGACTGACCCAGAGGTCATACCCATTAGTGTCTCATTGCATTTCCCATTTTGGAGGCTCAGAGCCAAATGTTCTTTTGCCCAGACCCCCAGCACTGAGCTCTGGCCCATGAAGTATGAGTGGACGTTTTCTGGGTTGGATAGAGGGGGCATCTTGGAAAGCTGGTGCAGACCCTCCCCTTTCCCTTGATCTTGACTGGAATGTGGATGTGATTCCTCGATTTGGAGCGTTAGAGGCAATCTTGTAGCCAGGAAAGGAAAAAAGAACAAAAGTGTCCTATAAATACTGGTTCTGATGTTTTGAGATGTTGAAACATTATGCTAGCCACTACTTACTTGTAGATTAATTGTAAGAAAAATGAACCTGTATTTTTGAAGTTGCCGTAAATGGTAATTCTGTGACTTGTAGCTGACGGCAAAATTTCTATGCTACTACACAATTTCTTTGGTACGTCTCAGTGCTTCAAAGGGCCAAATCATGTGTCAGATAGGCAACACTTCTACACTGCAAAGATTAAGAGTTCTGACAATAGGATTTCCCCAAAAGAATGTTAAACATTTATAGTCAAAACTCTTTCAGTGCATCTAATTCTAAAAGGTGAGAGAAGATCCTTTCCTAAAGAAGCCTTTGGACTAAAATCATTAAAAATTAGTAACTACAAAATATATAGAAGAAATATTGTTCACTGATGGCATTTCAAAACCATAAATCTCCTTCAAGAAAAGTCACCCCCCAGCAAAACCATGACGTTGCTTCTGCCCTTTAGATCTATTTGTTCATACATTTATAAAATTGTTACTATGACACAATTTATTTTATTTTATTCACTAAACAGTTTGGCATTACACTGAAATTAACATTTCCTATTACAAAATGTTTTTTGAAAATGTGTGTGTGTTTTTGTTGTCTAGAGAAGATATTTTTAAAAAATTTAAGTATAGTTGGTATACTGGTTAAATATTGGTTATATTGGTTTCAGTGATTTGACATTCTTATACCTTACAGTGCTATCACCCCACTAATTCTAGCAATCATCTGTCACCATGTGAATTTATCACAATATTGTTGACTATTTCTCCTTCCCCTTTTCACCCTCTCCCCCATCCCCTTCCTTCTGCTAACCATCCTTTTGGTCTCTGTTTCTATGAGTCTGTTTTTTTTTGTTTTTAAGTTCCACATATAAGTGAAACCATACTGTATTTGTCTTTCTCTGTCTAACTTATTTCACTTGGCATAATACCCTTGAGATCCATCCATGTTACTGCAAATAGCAAGATTTCATTCTTTTTTATTGCTGTGTAATATTCAATTATGTAATATATCTATATCTCATCTATATCTATCTGCACCTCACACCTTCTTAATCCATTATTCTATCAATGGATGCCCAGGTTGCTTTCATATCTTGACTATTGTAAACAATTCAGCAACAAACATAGGGTGTATATATCTTTCTGAAATAGTGTTTTCATTTTCTTTGGACAGTGGCTGCACCAATCTGTATTCCCACCAATGGTGCACAAAGTTCCCTTTTCTCCACATCCCTGCCAAAGTCAACTTGTTTGTTGACTTTTTGATGGTAGCCATTCTGGCTGGTGTGAGGTGATATCTCATTGCGGTTTTGATTTGCATTTCCCTGATGATTAGTGATGTTGAGCATCTTTTCATATGTCACTATTTGCAGATAACATGATACTATATATAGAACACCCTAAAGAATCCACCAAAAAATTAAGAGAATTAACAAAAGAATTCAATCAAGTGTCAGGATACAAAAGTAATATACAGAAATCTGTCATATTCATATACACTAATAATGAACAATCAGAAGAAGAAATGGAAAAACAATACCATTTACAAGTACATCAAAAATAATAAAATACCTAGGAATAAACATAACCCAGGAGGTGAAAGACCTACACTCTGAAAACTATAGGACACTGAGGAAAAAAACTGAAGAACCAAATGAATAGAAGCATATACTGTGGATATAGGGAGCCACAAAAGACTCCAAATAGCCAAAGCAATCTTGAGAAAAAAGAACAAAGTTGGCGCACGGCCGGGCATGACTCAGCGGTTGACCTAGGATCCAGGAGATCGGGGTTCAATTCCCGGTCAGGGCACATGCCCGGCTTGTAGGCTAGGCAGCCGATCAATGACTCTCTCATCATTGATGTTTCTATCTCTCTCTCTCCCTCTTTTCCTCTCTCTGAAATCAATAAAGATATGTTTTAAAAAAAAAAAAAAAAAACAAAGTTGGAGCTATCATGCTCTCTGATCTCAAACAATACTATGAAGCTATAATCATCAAAACAGTAAGGTACTGGCACAAAAATAGACAATGTGCATCAGTGGAACAGTATAGAGAGCCAGAAATAAACCCTCACTTATAATGTCAACTAATGTATGACAAAGGAGGTAAAAATATACATGGGAGCAATGACAGTCTTTTTAACAAGTGATGTTGGAAAAACTAGGCAGATACATGCAAAAAAAAAAAGAAAAAGAAAAAAAAGAAAAGAAACTGGACCACTCTATTATACCAAATAAAAAAATAATCTCAAAATGGGTTAAAGACTTAAATGTAAGCCCTGAAACCATAAAACTCCTAGAAGAAAACATAGGAAATAAGCTATTTGACATCAGTCTGAGTAATATCTCTTTGAATATGTCCCCTTGGGCAAGGGAAACAAAAGCAAAAATAAATAAGACTACATCAGACTAAAAAGCTTCTACACAGTGAAGGAAACATTCAATTAGACAAAAAGGCAACCTACTGAATGGGAGAATATATTCACAAACAATATACCCCATAAGAGGTTGATATCCAAAATATATGAGAAAAAGATGGCGACAGACTGAGTGGAAGCTACAATGACACTCTCCCAGGAACAAACTGGAATTACAACTAAAATAGAGAAAAATATCCTGAATAATCAACTGCAACTGAGGATGAGCTGGAGAGCACCCTCATAACCAAGGAGGAAAAGTGGAGACCACACAGAGACTGGTAGGAAGTGCAGAGGTACAAGAGGGCTGGCTGGGCTCCCACAGGAAGCAGCTGAAGGTGATGAGGGATATCTCAGCTGTGGGGGGTTCCCACTGAGGACTCTGGGGCCTAAACCTCAGGCTGGGCTTCCTAGCCAAGAGCACCAGAACTGAGAGAGGTACCCACATAACATCCGGCTGTGAAAAGCAGCTCGGTTTCTGTCTGCCAGGGAGAGGTGTCTGGAAATGCAGGCATCCTCTTAAAGGGTGCACAAAGTGTCTTGTGCAACGACTCACCTTGAGCTCCATCAGAGGGAGAGCAGAGTGGACTGGGGCTGTGTGAGGAATATCTAAGGTTGTGGCTCTTGAGCTAGAGCTGAGAGGGCACCCCTCTGGATTCCCGTGCTGAGTCATTCCCCCATTCTGCAGAGGACATCTTTCAGAGGCAGACATTTACCTTCTAAGCAGTTTTTGCATAAAGGGGGAGCAATTGCCCCACCCTGCTGGAAAACCTCTCACCCTACCCTGTGTAGTTTCTACAGCTTGAGGCTCATTAAGAGGCTAATAACAATCAGCCATCCAAACCTGTGGCGTTTCTACGGCCTGAGGCTGATT